TTTTACTTGGTAAGATTCTTGAAATACTTGATTTGTCTCGGTTTTTTTCTTATTTCAAGACTCTTACCATGTAAAATTTTCTTACTCCATTGGCAGAAAATTTTAACTTAATTTTGAGTCAATTTTTCAGACTAACAAGACAAATAATCTTACACATTCTGAAAACAAGAATATTATTCTCACACAATCAGTTCTTGTTTAGTAAATCAGTCTCAAAACAAGATCAAAAAGACTTTTTGGCTGGATACAAGATTTTAAAACTTGGTTAGGTGGACATTTTTTGTATTGTAAAGTCCTGACTTATTTTCACTAGTGTTCTGGCAGATTTCATTAATCCATTAGTTCAATGAATCTGTGGATTTTGACTCGTGCGTGGCTTTTGTCTGTCGCAGGATAAGAATCTGAGTTCTCGTCGAGTTGGGGCCACATCAGTCTGGGACAGTGGCGTCGGAGGACTTTCTTCTACAACTAACTTTGCAACTCAGCTTGAAGGTGAGACAAAACAAARGATTTAAAAAGTAACATATTTGTGGAACTTATGATACAAGTTAAACACAACACACTACTTGATTTGTAGAAAATCTGAATTTAGTACTAATGATCATTTATAGATTATCAGTTAGTTTCTGGATGGTTAGAACCCCGCTGACAGTCCTCGTCTGTCTGCAGACTCTGACTGTGTGTGGCTGGAGCCGGACAGCCTGTCTCACAGTGGAGGGGACGACCTGGAGGACGGMGTGCAATTTTCCATCTGGGTGTCTTTCTACGAGATCTACAATGAGTTTCTGTACGACCTGCTGGACGCCTCGCCCTCCCTGCAGCCCCGAAAGAGAGCTACTCTGCGCCTGAGTGACGACAAGCAGGGCAATTCTTACGTCAAAGGTGATTCTGGAGAACTGATTAAAACTATATTATAATTCAACTCTGGGAGTTTTGTGCCGTTACACTTCATTAGGAGGCATTTGGAGTTGACTTGCATCCAGTTTGAATTTAATTGTCATTAAAGAAAATGCAACTACTTCCTTTACGCCACATTAGATCTCACTTGGATCCAAGTCCGCAGTGCTGAGGAGGCCTGGAGGATTCTGAAAGCTGGAAGTCGTAACCAGAGCTTTGCCAGCACTCACCTTAACCAAAACTCCAGCAGAAGGTTGGACACAAACATTTTTTTATGTTTTTAGTTTGACTTGCACTTTTTTTTTAAAACTCTGATCACAAAACTGATTTCCAATTCAGCCATAGTATCTTCTCCATCCGTGTCCTGCATGTCCATCCAGAGGCCAGTTCAAGCCAGGCCATGCYCATCAGCGAGTGAGTTCACTTCTTTGCTGTATTTCCTGGCATAATGATCAACAGATTATCTGATTAAGGTCAGTTTTGTTGAAKACTCGGGCGTCCATGTCGGCTAGTGAAATGCGTTCTTTCAAAGAAGGTTGGGGCTTAAATGTTGGATGATATCTGAGAARGTGTCCTTGATGTTTTAGTGTTTCTAAACTTTCTCCACCCTGCAGACTGACGGTGTGTGATTTGGCTGGCTCTGAGCGCTGTAAACAGCAYCGTAACGGCGAGAGGATGAAGGAGGCCAACAACATCAACACCTCCCTCCTGACATTGGGCCGATGCATCACTGCCCTGAGGCACAACCAGAACAGCAAGTACGCTGCAGAGATTTGATCCGATTTAGTGCGTTTATCTCAAACATCCATCCGTGTGAACCTGGAGCACAAAAGCCTCAAAGGTCACGTGCACCAGCACGATGATCGGAGCGCCCGTGTTGCAGTTGATTTAACAATTTCTAGGTGTAGCATTCAGTGCGTTTGAAAAACCGTTCATGCATTTGTGAATCTTGTTTGAAGACCTCCCCGTTTCATGCAAACTTGAGCAACTTGTTCGTTGCYTCCACAGGTCGCGGGGCCCTCAGGTGGTGCCCTTCAGGGACAGCAAACTGACCCGCGTCCTGCAGGGTTTCTTCTGCGGGCGTGGAACCTCCTGCATGGTGGTCAACATCAATCCGTGCGCCTCCGTTTATGACGAGACCCTGCAGGCTCTCAAATTCTCTGCCATTGCCACTCAGGTCAGAAATAAAAGCTCTTACTTTTTAAAGTTGAATAACCTTTTTTGAGTGGTTTAGTCCTGAAACTAAAACGCGATGTGAACGGTGTTTCAGCTTGTCCACGGCCCGTCCACAAAGACCAGAGTTGCCTACATCTTGTCTCTGCTCCGCGAGCCGACCGCCAACTGTAACGAAAGCYCAGTGATGGAGGAGGAAGAAGAGGAAAGTGACGTCGAAGATGGAGATATCTCCCTGTTGAACACTCAGGTATGACCCTCCGTCTTCTTTGTAAGACATAATTACTGTTCCTGCTTCAAAAATCTATTTAGTTGTCACAAAATGTTGCCATTAAAGCTTTGATCTGGAGAATTGTGCAGATATTAAATTGAAGATGTGTTTTCAGTATTTTTGTGTGCGTTCTAACTGCCGTCTGTACATTTTAAGAATTTGCTGGAGACCATCGATATCCTGAAGAGAGTCGTGCGACGCCAGCAGATTGAGAAAGAAGTTCTTGAAGCTAATGTGAGAGAAGAGATGATGTCTGAGGTTATGGAAGTTGTGAATCGAATGCAAAAGGATTTCAAGTATGTGTGCTTCTTGGTTTTAATAGAATACACAGACGTATTAGCATTAAATATAAATCAGTTCTATTAATGCATGCATATTTTTTGTGGAGCATTAAAACGAGTCTACCAGAATGAGATGAGTGTAGATGCTGAGTTGTTGTTCTGTCCAAAGTGAGACCTTGGAGACACAGATTGCTATAACAGAGGAGAAGTATGAGACCAAAATAACAATTCTGGAGACGCACCTGAAGAAATACTACAGGCAGGAGCTACAGGTCAGACCTGGTGATGAACAAAGTTTTGCAAAATATAAATTCTTTATATCTGAATGTTTATCTTCCAAGTCTACAGAATATCTTTTCTGTTATCGTAGGAGCGTGATGAGGAGATCGAAGCGTTGTCTGCTTTACTTGAAAAGAAAAGTAGTAAGGAAGAAGCCGTTCCCTTCTCGGTGCCTCAGGAGAACTCTGAGGGCCCCCGGCGTTCTCAGCGCATCTCCCAGACTGGATTTAACAAACTCCGCGTTGAGCTCGACCAGTGCCGCGCGGAGCTTCTTACTAAGACCCAGGGTACGTTCTGACGGGAACCCCCCATCTAGACGTGTGCTACTGTTGAGATATTGGTAGCTGTTTTATAATTTAGCACCGTTTGTCTGTGCAGAACTGACGAGGCTGAAGATGGAGCTGGAGGTTCCGGGTTCAGCCGGCCTTCTCACCAACGCCGCCGACCGCAAGCTGCAGGAGGGTCAGCGGGTCAGTAACCGCTCCCTTGTTACYTAATTAAAGAAGTGCTAAAAAGTATAACTTTTTTTTTAACCCTCGCTAACAGAACCTGCAAAAGCTGCGCCTGGATCTGCAGAGGCTGGGAACTGACCTGCAGTCTGGGGAGCGAGCTTGTTGTCGCAACACAGGAGGGGAGAGGCTGCGGCACACATTAGCAGCCGCTGATGAGACTGTAGTTAAACAGGTACAACCAAACTGTTCTTTTTACCTCAATATGCAAGAGTTTAGAGTATTTGGTAACACTTTATAACTGCACCTTATTTAGCCTTACTTAATTATTAATAAATGGTTAGTTAACCTTGAAAACATCACTAATCAAGGATGATTTATACTTTATAAGCTATAAATGACKACCTTTCATTAATGCTTTATCCATAATGTTTAATAACTTCCAAAACCCTCATAAAAACAAAAAACCCTGAAGGGCCACAGGTTCATTTTCACCAGTGAAAATCATCCCAAAATCATAGTCAGATTACAAACTAGCATCCATGGTAGCTGCTGGCTGGCCAAGTTTAGCGCTGCTGGGTTAGAGGATGTTTGAACTGACATGATTTCAGTCTGATTTTCAGATGTGAAAAGYAACTTGTGGCTCTTCAGGGTTTTTTCTACATCAACAAATATGTAAGAAAGCATAAATACTTGTGGGGCTCAAAAAGACTTAACTGGCTTATTACAGATGCACTGCAGGTTTAGAAGAGTTTAATTCAAATGTTTTCTAAACATTAATACATGTTAAACACTTGGTGTAAAAGTGCATTTATATGCATGTACACAGTATTTAGAATAGTTAATTCATGAGTTATTAAACATGAATAAACAATCAGTATTTTGGTTTTGTAGTAATTAGCCTTTATGGGTAAATAATCAATAAATGTGTTCATTATCAAAAAGAAAAAAATAAGTAGGTCCTCTGGATGGGTTCTTTAGTGAAACGTTTTGTCTCTCCTCCAAGAGAGGAAATGTTTTTTTTTTTTTTAAGTTTAAAGTTTATACATTTAAAAACAACACAAATTCAACATATAACAAATCACAAATTAAACTAAATGAAAGGTTAAACTGATTATGAATGATTAAATGTTGTCTTGGAGGAGAGACGAAACGTTTCACTAAAGAAGAACCCATCCAGAGGACCTACTTATTTTTTCTTTTTGATTTTTTTTTCTACCTGGATTACTGAGATGCATCAGGACTTCATGTATTATCATTATTATCATATTAGGTTGGAATCGTCCTTAATGGTGTTTTCAAGGTTAACTAACATTTGTTTAAAAGGCTAAATAAGATGTAGTTGTAAAAGAAAAAAATAAGGTTTTGATACAAACTTTTGTGATAAACTGTTTTAATGTGCTGTTTTTCATTTTAATGCTCTTTTTCTCTCTTTTTTTCTCTTTTTCTAATATTCCTGATGCACAGCCAGCAGCTTTAAAGCTAAATTTAGGTTTCTAACACCTTTATCAGGTGATTACTGAACTAATGAAAGCATGTTGCATTTTTCCCCCCATGCTTTTCCGCTCAACCTCCAATCTCGTCCTTCACCCCCCCCACTCCCTCTGTGATCCTGTCTAACCTGATCAACTGACTTCTTCTCAGAACCAGATCCTGATGGAGCTCCAAAACAACCTGATGCTGGTCAAAGCAGAACTGCGGCGGAAAGCGGAGGCCCAGACACTGACCGGATGTGCCCAGCTGCCCCCCTCGAGCTTTGCCGTCCCCACCACACCCGGCTCCTGCAAAAAGAGGGGCTGTGTGGCCACCACCCCGAGCGAAACCGAAAACCGGCATCCGCAGAAACGCCCCTTTCTCCAGTCTCTGTTCCCCTCACGTAGATACAACGCCCYGCCTGCTGAAGGCAACGTTACCCCGTACTCACGGATCTTGCGGTCTCGTCAGCCATCGCCTCCTCCCAGCCCTGTCCTCACCCCACGCACCCTCAGGGGGAGGTACTGAGCTCTTCAGGACCCCAAAGGTTTTAAACGCAAAACCTAAAAGCTAGATCAATTTATGGCATTTTAAAATATATATTTTGTATCTTATATTTACATTTTTCTGTGCGTTCTACTTACTGTCAAGCCAAAAACAGTTAAAAAAGAAGTGCTTTAAAAACTGATCAGTATCAAAAGCAAGGTTTCTCAAACTTATTGGGTCTGAGGACCCCTTACAAAGAAACATATTCCAGGGACCCCCCTCATAATCCTCATACTGATTTAAAATTGATTTACTGTCATTTTAAACCCTAAATGCCATGGGAATAATTGTTTGTTTGGTGGTGTATGTCTGTTTTACTGGTGCCTTGTCCTCCTCATGCATTTATGCAGTTTTTTTAATGAAAAGCAAAATTAACAGTTTGCTTTAATTTTTTGAGGCCCCCCAAGTTACATCTTGCGGACCCTTGGGGGTCCTAGGACCCCAATTTGAGAACCTCTGATCTAAAGGYCTTTGAGGTCAGGGTAGTGCATGAGTGTGTGTATTAAACATTTTATTTGTGTTGCTTTCACACACCTTGGCTGTACAAATTTATGTTTGCTTCCTTCACTAGATTACTAAATATTTCATCACAACTAATGTGTTTCAGTTGCTGCTTTTTTGTGCGTTTGTTGTTTAATGAATGTTTGTTCTTCCTTCGCCACTTTCTAAACAGAATTATGTTTAACATCTGAAAAGTGATGGTATTTGATTTGTCATTTTTAAATGTTCTTTTTATTGAGTCTGTCACCTTTTATTACTTTTGTTTGTTCAACTCTTTATATAACTTAACTGTATTAAAACATTTTCAGAACAAATGTGTGCAGTCTTTAAAAGAAATTTTGACTATTTCCAGCATTTTACTACAGAATGTTTATATAAACAAAAATTTGCAACATTACAAACATTCACAAAATCTTTTCCAGAATTATTTTCTATTGAAATCCACAAACTGTCCACTTGTAGGCCCCACGGTGTCATGGCGTGAAGGAGATCAGGTTCAGCGGGGACACCCTCCTGACTGGTGTGTTGTTGTTTGAAAGCGGTGCAAACAGATCAGCAGATGGCGTCTCGATCTGATCTCTGACRTGTGAGATCTGCCTCAGCAGAGCCTTGCCCTCCTCGCGAGCCTGCGGAGCGACCAGTAACAGTGAATGTCGGCTCGCAGCAGGGAGCCAAGACGACTCGGGGACACTTACGTCGTTGTAGTCGCAGCAGCGCTGGGCACAAACGGACGCCTCGTCGTAGAGCTTGTTCTTGAAGTAGTACTGACCCAGGTAGCGCAGGGCTGTGCTCACCTCGGCGTGCTCCAGTTGTTCCTGACGGRATTTCAGTTCAAAAACAAAACATGACTTCCATCCACACCAAACCAGTTTTACAACTTGTCTAAAGCAAGTGAGGTTTCTAATATAAGTAGAAAGCTTACCCCACAAGAGAAAATGTCCTGAATATAAAGCATGTAACACTGGGCCGCATCGTCCGACTCATTCAGCTGTTCATGGAGCCTGTGGAGGAACAAGATTTTACATTTTATCCAAAGGTTACATTAAATGATTAATTGTATTTTTTTAAGCAAGAATGTTTAATACTTTGCCAGCTTGAGTAGAGCCATTTTTTCTACATCGCCCACAGAATACGCCCTCCAGTAGCACTGAAAAGCAGATGATATGGCACAAATTTAAATCTTAAAGTAAAACTCAAAGGAATCAGAAGTGTGTGAGGGATATACCTTCTTGGCTTCCACTTGCTGTGATAATTTTTCGTAGCTTTCGCCGAGTGCAACCAGCATGCGTGAATCACTGGGTCTAAACAGATACAACAACTTAATGCATGTTGTGTTTCAATTCCGTGTCATTTTAAACTAAAARAGTGTAAAACATCAGCTAAAAATATATTCAAATTGCTACCTTAGCTGGTGAGCCTTTCTATAATAGTATAAACAGTAAAAGGGCATCTTGAGGATCTCGTATGTCTGACCCAGGCCGTACCAAGCCCGGTAGTCCCGCTTGTTCACTTCAATGGCATGCCTGATGGAAAAGAACAAAACAAATAGTGAAGCAACATTTCAGGACAGTTGGTTTAAGTAAGGGCTATTCAACTAAATTTCTCCGGGGGCCACAGTTACTGCCGGTCAACAGCTGAGGGGCCAAACATCCAGCAATTAAAGTCATTATGTAAATAAACTAAGTATTACAAAGATCTGCTACCTTTGAATTAGTTTATTTTGCTGCATTTAATCATGAATACAACATACAGAACCCTGTAAAAGTAGTGATAATTACACATTATCAAAAACAAAAAGAACACATTATGCCTCCTATTTGACACATAATATTATGACATCTCTGACTTGCCAAATTTTTAAACCAATTTTATTTTCACTTCCATCATTTTATCTTCAACTGCTTGTAGTTTTAACTCTCTTGAGTGTTTATAGAAATAGTTTTTACCAGCTTGTAGCCAAGATCCTGACGTTTCTGTAGATACCACACATGTCTATGTTTAACTAAAAGAACTTAGAGTAATTAAAGTAGAAAACAAGGGGTTTGGACTTAAGAGATGAATGAACCAATTGGCGGGCCGGATGTGGCCCGCGGGCCGCCAGTTGAATAGCCCTGGTTTAAGTCTTCACAGCCCGTGAAAAGATACATGTAACAGTAAGGTATACAGTCTAACCTGTAGGCCTGAATGGCAGCTGACGTGTTCTTCATTTCCATGTACTCGTGGCCCATGAGGGTCCAGGCTCCGAGACATCGAGGGTTCAGTTTCAGGGCCCGCTGGAAGTACAGAGCTGCTTTCTCATGTTGAGAGCGTAAGCTGTAGTAATTACCTTTAAATAAAATACATTTAAAAAAAAGAGACAAAGTTTTTACTTATTTATTTTGCAAAATACAGTAAAAAATGGTTATTTGTTTGGATTAATAAACTGAACTGTTACCAATAACACAGCACGTCTCCACTCGGTACTTGTCAATCTCCACCAGGTTGTGGGCCAGGAAGCTCAGTTCTGGTTTCATACTCTGTAAAAGCACAAAGCCCAGACTTAACCCTGAAACTGGTCACACAAAGTGACACATCCAAGATAAAGAGGGTGAACTCACCCGGACATAAAGCAGGTTAGAAAACGTGTCCATGTTGTCGATGCGATACGGATCCTGCTCGCGCAGCTCGTTGAACAGCGCCAGAGCTTGATCGATATCTTTAATATGTGGAGACAGTTCGCTGTTCAGTTTATTCTGCTCACTTTAGATTTTTTAAATATTTTGAAGTGTGATTTTAAAATAAAAGGAGAAAAATCTACCTCTGAAGTTGTGGTAGGCCACAGCGATCTGTGAGATGATGTATGTGCTCTTGGAAAAGCCGGCCTCGATGAGGTTCTGATATTTTTCCAACGCCTCTTTGATCATCTGCAGCTCTGTGTACATGTGGGCCACGAAGAAGTCTTTAATCCAGCAGTCTGGCAGCGAAAGAGACTTCAGCTGAAAAGAGACCGGGTAGAAAAAAAAACATATTAATATGTTAATTGTTTTTGCTGTACAATGCAAAGAACTATTCCAAACAATTCTTTACCATTTCAACATTTGTGACAAGGTTACTGAGCTCCAGCCATGCGCCCCAGTGAAGAGGAAGTGCATGAATCGCCTCGACAAAAACCTTCACCGCCTCCTTCAGCAGATCGAGCTTTCGTAGAACCACCCCATACCTGTGTTTCCACACACAAATGGGAAATAACACCTTATTCCCCTGCATAACGTCAAAGAAGAGTCTACACTTTGGCATAAGAAGCTCTTACAGATAGAGCGTGAAGCTGTCCAACTCTCCTGCAGAGTGCTTCTTACTGAGCTCAACTCTTAGTTCTCGTAAAGCTTCATTGCGCACTTGACCTTTTTCCAGCGGACCTAAAAGCACAGAAACATACAAAACGTTTAGGGGTGAATAAAGAAAAAAAAAAGCTCTTTTGTTCTTTAATTCATTGGAAAAAAATAAGTCCTCACCCAAGCTGTCCACTGTCTCGTCATCTTTCTTTTTCTCTCCTGACTGAAAAATGAACAAACATTTCAAAARGCTTTAGGCACACAGAAACTAGTCTTGTCACAAAATGTCTTAGATGATTCAAGGATTGGGGACAGCTCGGTGTCGAAGGAAGCATACCAGATAACGTGAATACATATAGAGGAAATAAGCCTTCTGACTGCAGCAACCTTTCAGAAAGTAAGCAGCGCGATCGTACTCTTTCAGGTCAAAATATGATTTGGCCAGTGTGAGTGCATCCAGGTCCTGTGCATCTTCCTATACATGAAGCAGGAGAAAAAATTGTAATCTTCAACAGTTGAAAAATCATTGCATAGGGAGAAAAATATATGTAATAATAAGAAGTTGTAATGGGTTTATCMACTATTTGACAGCCAACACTGTGCAAGTAAAATCAAACTTATGTACACATGAACGAATGAATAAGAAACAAAGRGTGTTGCTGATCCTGGAGGTTAAAAAGGCACTGTATGAAGTACGGACCACTCACCATTAAAAATCACAACATGCTGTTTAAATTGCTCAGAAATGAGCCTGACAGTTCCCAAACTCATCTTGATACCGAGCAGTATCAACATCATCACACAGTAAAAATGTCAATATTGTTTCCTAAAAGGCTCCACTATAACTCAATGACATTTTAAAACACTATAAAAATAAATATAAATCCCAAGGAGCTTGGCCAGTGCACAAACCTCAGTGAAAGGAGCAGCTGGAGGTAAATCATCCTTGGAAAGAGGCTCCAAAGCAAACGCCAATTCAGAAGCCCTGAAAAGTCAACAGCACAGAACTGATGTCTGAATGTATCCTGCTTGGTCTAACGCGTTTAACAGATCTCATTTATAGAAATCAATACTCTTAGGAACAAAAATTGACAAGAAATGAGACCAATAGTATGTAGTCATGAAGACTGTGCCTGAATATCGCCACTATTTTTACGTAAATATTTGTTTTTTGTGGTTTTGACTGAGACTAAACTGACAGTGAAGGTAAAAGACTTGTCTGCAACAATACCGTGCATTTATTGAAGTAAATAACAAACATGATAGCAGTGCTAACAAAGCTAACACAGAARGCTAACAGATTATTTAAGGTAGAAAAGTAAAAAGACACGCAGTTATTTGACACGTTAATTGTTCTTGGTTTTACCACTTGGCGCTGTGTAAAAGTCCTCTTTCTTTGCACAGCGATATAACAGATATAAGCTGTTTTTTTATTTGAACCAAGTCTCCGAAGTCACTACACAGAGCCGCCATTTTCATATTTTAGCAAACGGCAGGCGATTGGTGGATAACAGGGTTCCGTTTCCTTTCTTGTCTTTTCAAAATAAAAGCTTTCTTCCTTTTTTGTTTCCCTTTATTTTTATTTACATCTTATAAAYCAAAAATGTATATATAATCTCCAAACAATGTTAATGTAATAAACATAAAATAAACATTTATAGTGTGATTGGCCCTTAACTATTCAAACTGACTAATATTGATGGAAAAAAAACAACAAGTTAAAACCACACTCAATTTCACTCCAATGAGCCAGCATTTTACAGCAGCACATTATAAAATGTGGGCTTAAAAAGTGGGGAAAGTTGATAAGTGGACAAAAAAATAAAAAAAATAAATAAAACAAACAAACAAAAACAAAACAATCAAACTCCTCACCAGGTAGAAGCCATGAAAATAGGCAGGGTGTGGTAGATGCATTATCCCCGAGCTGACAATCTTCTTAAATTTTCAGCACATACTGTATCTTTTTGGTCGTTACATTCACTCAAAAACAGATATAATGG